AATATTTAATTAGCTAGCAGTTGATACTATGTAAATATATTCAGAAATTGGATTCACCTGGTTTTACAACAAAATGTGCTTAAATAATTTCATCTACCAGGCTGAATATAAACTCAATGTGCAATTCTTCAGGTTGTTTATTATATATATTGTTTAACTTCCTGATATGTTATCTACCATATATGTTTTAGGCTTCATTTTTGAGTGTCCTTTCAAAGTTTCTTGCGTATGTCGTCTGCTTAAACCTTTCTGCCGCCCACGTTTTGTCTCCCTTGTAATTCCTATTCTAATATACTTTTATAACGTTTATGTATAACCAACTATATAATACAACATATTTTTGCAGTTATTTAGCGCTCGTTGCTGGTTTGTCCAGCGAGGCCGATTTCATATTTATACCCGAAATGCCACCGAAAACCGATTGGCCAGATAGGCTTTGCTTTCAATTAGCTCAGGCAAGATGTGAACCTAATTTCTTTTATACTTTTTTACACCCAAACACACCTTCTCCGTGCGTTTGCTCTCTCTCTCATATATGCTTTTCCTTCTGAATATAAACACAACAGAACATGGTAGACTATATACTCATCTTACACACACACACACATGCATAATATATGTATATCAAGGTTGCAAACCCAAAAAAAAAAAAAAAAGAAAGAAGAAAGAAAAATGTTTGATGGGTCGGTTCACGGTTCAAACCCATCTGTCGCTTCGTAAACTCGGATTTGCGCATTTGTGAATCCAGGTTTTGGGCTCTCGCATTTCTTTACATTTTTCCATAATACAATACAATTTTTATATATATGTATTTATATTAAATTGGTTATATCAACATTATTTTTCACATTGAAATCAATCATATCAAAAACTAACAAATTTGGCTATAATATTTAAAAATAATATATAAAAATATTGTTATGGGAAAATCTGGCTCGGTTCAGTTTTAGGTTCATGGTAAATCAGATATTGGATACCTCGGCTCAAATCCGTTTTGCAGCCTTGATATATGTATATAAATATATATCGTACATCAATTTGAGTTAATATTTTGCTTATTGCTTTTGAAATCTATTCGAAATGTGATTGGTTTGAGTATGGCGAGGCTTTCATCAATATTTATTTGAGCTCATGTCAGAGATATTTACAGCAAAGGCTTATCACATTCTTTTAATAATCAGCCATATATATATATATATATTTATCTTCCCGAATCCCCCAATTGGATGTGTGTGTTGCCCCTCAGGCCGTGTTTTTCCCTATTCCCCGCCTCCTCCTAGCATATTGTAAATAATAATGATCAATTATATAACAATTCATTGCATTGCGCATCGTTTCTGTGTTTGATTGTTTTTTGTTTGTTTTTAGCTATTTAGCAATTTCAGCAGCTATCGCTACAGAAGCTGATTTTATGTTAATACCCGAAGAGCCCGTTGCCGTTAACTGGCAGGATTCTCTATGCCAGAAGCTAGTTCAGGTCAGCAAACTGTTTAGGTTTATCAGTCTAGTTTGTACGACGGTGTTTTCGTTTCTTTTTAATCGAACTAAACAAATTTGTAAATTCTTTTAAATTATATATCAACCATTAAGTATTTGATATAACTATTTAAGAAATATGATTTTAAATTCTAACCCTTTTAACAGTTGTGCAAAGAGCTGCAGCTCTTTGTCACACTGATTCTAGCAAATACTAATCAATTGGCAATTTAATTGGCTTTCATTGGGTTTAAGTGTAGTCTCACAATTTGCTGGGCAATTTAATTGGCTTCTATTTTGTTTTTGTCGTACACGCGTACGTAGCTTGACCAGTAAATATACCAATATATATATATATATACACATATATTTACTATATGTTTCGGTTCCTTGTTTATTAGCTGTTTAATTTCGCATCTTATAGCTATACACATATTCTTGCCTCTATTCAGTCACACACTCACACGTTGTCTAACCCCATTTTTATGTACATTTTCACTTTTACATTTACTATCTAGCGTACATCAATACATACATCACGCATCTGTCTATGTAACTTGTGTATTTTTTGGTATTTTATTTAATACATTCTTCATTGCTTTTGATGACATTCTATGTACACACGAGTTACTAATATCATTGAAGTTCATCTTTGAGAATCGCATAGAGAGCCTCATCTAACAATTGCTGCATTTGTCTGAAAACAGGAACGTAAGGCTGGCCAACGTCTGAACATTGTTATTGTTGCGGAGGGTGCCATGGATCGCGAAGGCAACCCAATTACCGCTGAGGATGTGCGAAAGGTGATCGATGAGCGTCTCAAACATGATGCTCGCATCACTGTGCTGGGCCATGTGCAGCGTGGCGGCAACCCCAGCGCCTTCGATCGTATATTGGTAAGTTGCCTGAAATAACATTCCAGGGTTTCGATTAATATGGGTTTTTTTCACAGGCCTGTCGCATGGGTGCTGAGGCCACACTGGCCCTGATGGAGGCCACGGAAGAATCGGTGCCAGTTGTCATTTCCCTGGACGGCAACCAGACGGTTCGTGTCCCACTGATGGAGTGTGTTGAACGCACCCAGGCCGTGGCAAAGGCCATGAAGGAGCGACGTTGGGCGGATGCCGTTAAGCTACGAGGACGCTCGTTTGAACGCAATCTGGAAACGTACAAGATGTTGACCCGCTTGAAGCCACCCAAGGAGTGTTTCGATGAACAGGGCAAGGGCATTGAGGGCTTCAGGCTGGCCGTAATGCACATCGGTGCCCCAGCCTGCGGCATGAATGCGGCCGTGCGCAGTTTTGTGCGAAATGCGATTTATCGCGGCGACGTTGTCTACGGCATCAACGATGGCGTCGAGGGTCTCATTGCTGGCAATGTACGCGTGCTGGGCTGGTGCGTATACTTCCCTCGTATCCGGGTGGCACAAAACACTTAACTCGAACTCCTCTTCTTCAGGTCTGATGTGTCCGGCTGGGTGGGTCAAGGTGGTGCCTATTTGGGCACAAAGCGTACGCTGCCCGAGGGCAAATTCAAGGAGATCGCTGCACGTCTTAAGGAGTTCAAGATCCAGGGTCTGCTCATCATTGGCGGATTCGAGAGCTATCATGCCGCTGGCCAAATTTCCGATCAGCGTGACAATTATCCAGAATTTTGCATACCCATTGTAGTTGTTCCGGCTACCATTTCGAACAATGTGCCTGGCACTGAATTCTCGCTTGGCTGCGACACTGGTCTCAATGAGATAACCGAAATCTGCGATCGCATTCGCCAATCGGCGCAGGGCACAAAGCGACGCGTGTTTGTTATTGAGACAATGGGTGGATATTGTGGCTATCTGGCCACGCTGGCTGGCTTGGCTGGTGGCGCCGATGCTGCCTATATATACGAGGAGAAGTTCTCCATCAAGGACTTGCAGCAGGATGTCTACCACATGGCATCAAAAATGGCCGAAGGCGTCTCTCGCGGTCTGATCTTGCGCAACGAGAAGGCCAGTGAAAACTACACCACGGACTTCATCTACCGCCTGTATTCGGAGGAGGGCAAGGGTCTCTTCACCTGCCGCATGAACATCTTGGGCCACATGCAACAGGGTGGCTCGCCGACACCCTTCGATCGTAACATGGGCACCAAAATGGCCGCCAAGTGTGTCGACTGGCTGGCAACCCAGATCAAGAACAACATCGATGCCAATGGCGTGGTCAACTGTAAATCGACCGATACGGCAACTCTGCTAGGCATCGTTGCCCGTCAATACCGCTTCAGTCCCTTGGTTGACCTCATTGGCGAGACCAACTTTGAGTAAGTCCCAAAAAACAACCTATGGATTTTATACAATTAGGGTACATGTTTCTTTTTTCTCAGTCAACGCATACCGAAGAAACAGTGGTGGCTGCGTTTGCGTCCACTTTTGCGAATCCTCGCCAAGCATGACTCTGCCTACGAGGAGGAGGGCATGTACATTACCGTCGAGGAGGAGTGCGCCACAGATGCAGTCGCTTAAAGATTTCGGACAGTTCAAAACAAAAAGAAAATGTACTAATTATCATGCCCAGTGCACACAACACATCGTAGAATCAATATGTTTTATTTAAATATCACACACGCACATCCCCAAATTAACCGAATACTGTTATTCCATTTCAATGGCTACGCGTCGATATATTAGTAGAATAAAAATGTCTCAGCTCAGGTCAAAGTTAAGCAGCTAATATTTACATTAGCCGATCTAAAAGTGAAAGTGTCTTTAGTGCACCACTCAACACTCAACAAACAAACAAACAAACAAAAAGTCCATGTCAAAAAGTGTATTTCTCATGCTTACATCTATGAATGTATAAAACATGCCGCCACAATTATTTATATTCCGTAGAGGAAACTTTTTATTTCTATTTATTTAAGTTTAACTTTATTATTTGAGTATTTCGTTTTAAACATATATAGAGCACTTATATATATATATATAATTGTTTACTATTGTTTTACTTTGCATGATGTGTATTGCACAAGCACATATTTACAAAATCCATGAAATGTTTTACCTGGCGAGCAGATGCTGCAACATAATGGAAAGAAATTGATGTATTGAAACACACTGTTAGTGCGCTATAGTAAATGTTGCAATAATGCATATATAAAATGTTAAAAAATACATATAAATATGAAAATACAAAGACCTTTTAAGGCATATACGTGCGTTGCTAAGATACAAATATAAAAATGTTAAAAATTTCGAGTCTACAAAATAACGCAAATGCGTCGATATCCCACTTAGCGCAAAGTTAATTTCGTATGTAAACGTTTTACAATTCAAATAAATCAACACACACAACTTATATTTAAGATTAGAGGCTAACTAATTTTCAAACTTTACCTTATCGATACTTAGCTAAGCGAGTATAGTGTGGCAGCACTGGCAGTTAATTTCCCATTGATGTGGCAGCTCATCTTCCATCGATGTGGCAGCGCACATAAAGTATAAGAGAACTTTGCAAATTGTGAACATTAAGACATTGAGTGGTAAATAGATTTTTTACTATTTATTGCTCAATGACATTATGCATTTTAAAAGGATTAATTTAGACATCACAAACCACCGCCAGAACGCTCGACAGGCAATGCACGCTTTTTGCTCCGCCGGTTACTTATCGCCGAAAGTTTCTGGTCGAGATTCATTTTGGCATAGCGCAAATAGGCCGTGTCACCGTGCACAATGGCCGACATCAGCAACAGGAACTCGTACAGATTCACCTGACCCTGCGAATGGCAGTCGATGTCTCGCAGGACGTTGTGCATCAGATCCACGGGCACTTCTTTGACGCCAAACGTTTTCATCGCCGCGCAGCATTTGTTTATGGACACAAGACCGGTGTTGTGCTCGTCCAGAGTCTTAAAGTACGCCGCATATTTTTGCACCTGATGCACGGACATTTTGATGGGTATGCTCAACTGGGCTTGCTCACTTTTGGGTACGTGTCCCATTTGCGTGTTGAGAAATTGTCGAGCCTTTAGGATTTCTTTCGACTTTCTCTTCTTGCTCCATTTCAACTCGCGCGCCATTTCGTTGGCCACCTGCGGTAATATCTCCTCCGCCGCGTGCACATTGAGGAAGGCAACACGCAGGCGACGTGCCACCATATCGACCAACGTGCAGGCATAGTCCCTTACACCTTGCCGCACCTCCGCCTCAATGTAGGGGAATTCTGAGTGCAGCCTCTTTCCTATAATCGGCCACTTGCCGCCACAGGTGTTGGCACAAACGGCCAACTTGAAGGCATTCGAACCGTAAGTGTCGGACAAGTGCTTGGCCACATCTTCCTCCAAGCCAAAATCCTGCACCAGTCTTATAAACATGCTCGGTGACCAGCCATCGGCCCCGTCCAGTTTACAGTGGGTCGCCGTAATTGAGTGTCTCCGCAATGGCTCCAGGCCACCACTCTTGATAGCCGTATCGATCGCCTTCTCTGCCAGCAGCCGAAACGACGTCCAGGTGCCGCCCACAATTGAGATCATTTTGCCCGGCCCCAAAGAAATAACATGATTCTTCAAAGTCGAATGTTGCAGCGCCTTCGATTGAATGGGCAGCGGCTTGTAGCCGCCCCAAACTGCCAAGACGTCACAGCGTCGCACATCAAAGTTGGGATTGATATAGTTCCTAATGCCGTCCAGCAGGTACTGCACCTCCATTTCCGTTGGCTGTGGCCCTTCGCTCTCCTCGCGTGTCTCATCCGAGGTGCCCATCAGCGTGTGACCCAACCAGGGTAGAAAGAATATGGCCGAGCCATTCTTTGTATGCGGATCGAACAGGCCGACCTCCTCGGGGCAATAGAAGGGCGGCAGCACTATGTGCGAGGCCCAGGTGGGTGTGCACTGTGCCGGCGCTTGGGCATCCTCCAGGCGTGCGATAGTGTCGCTCATTGGCCCCGTAGCATTTATAACCATTTTGGCGTGTATCTTGTAGAGTTTACCAGTCAGTTGGTCCACTGCGATGGCACCCACCACCATGTTCTTCTTGTCGCGCAGCAACTTAACCACCTTCATATGATTGCAAATGTCGGCGCCATAGCGAGAGGCTGTTAAAATGACTGCGAGACACATCCTGGCATCGTCGTGCTGCCCTTCGTAAAAGACAAAGGCGCCAAAGATTTCGCGGCGCATCATGGGAAACATTTCGAGCGCCTCGCGTGAATTGATGAAATGGAAACCCTTTGTGGTGCCAGGCGCCATCAGATGATATAGATGCAGCTTTACCCAGTAGATGGGCAGTTGCCACCAATGATGGACCGGCAACATAATCGGCACGGGTTGATTTAAATGCGGCGCCAGATTGGCAATGTTGCTGCGCTCGTTTAAAGAGGTTTGGACACGTCGAAAGGCGGCCATGTCGAAATGGCTGATGGCTTGATCGAGATCCCTGAGGCCGCCATGCAACAGCTTGCTGGACTTCGAGGAGGTGCCGCTGCCAAAATCATCGGCCTCAACCAAGGCGGTTTTGAGTCCACGTGTAGCCGCATCCAGGGCACAGCCAGCGCCCACTGCACCACCGCCAATAATTAAAATATCGTACTCCGTGCGTCGCAATGAATCGATGCTCATGCTGCGACTAGGCAGCTCACGCTTCATCTGCGGCGCCTTGTTCCTGTCTTGGGCTACTGGGGCGGAGGAGTATGCAAGCATGGTGCTTGTGCCCGCCAAGATAGCTACATTGAGAAATTTTGACATTTTGTAAAGAAGTTGAAAGAATATTTAATATTCGAAAATTAGATTAGTTTCGACGAAATAGTAAACGCTATGCGATTTTGAATACGTTCATATTTAATAGTATATATTTAAATATATGTGTTTATTTCGTGTTGCATGTGTTGAAAAGTTAAACAATTATCTATAAGAAAACTCAAGCCCACTTAAGCAAATTAGTACAAAAGCAAAATGCCAAAACATTCACATTTTTTATGTTTTAAAAAAAAACTTAGCACAAATTCTCTCTACAAAACCCGCTAGCTGCAACGACTAGCCCGGCTAGAAGCCTCCCGCAAGCGTAGAACACACTACAACAATATTAAAGGCATGGCATGGGAATGCGACTGTGTGTGACCGTGTGTGTGTGTGTGTCTGTGTGTGACCGTGTGTATGTGTGTGTGTGATCTGTGTCAGAATCGGAGGCAGTAGCGGTCCAGCGTTGAGGCAACACATCTTTGTTTCTACTGTTGCTTGGCGCCGCCAAAAAAGAACTTGTAGAAGAGCGTGGCAACCAGACAGAGCACCAGGGGCAATATCCATGACTTGACGGAGCTCTCCTCGTTCTGTGTGTCTGAGCTCCAGGTGGGTTCCGATTTCTGTGCAACATTCGTGCGTTCGCTGGCAACGAGCTCACCAATTTTGTACTTTTTCATCATTTCGCGGGCATCGTTGCTGTGGCCCACATCCTCAAAGTTTTCGGTGGCATCTTTGCCGGCCTGTTCGATGAGCACCTCTTCGCCGCCGGGATGCTGCAAACAGAAAAAAAAAAAACGAATATTTAATGAGCTATTTTATATGTAAATATGCAAATTGAGTGTCTCATATATTGACATTGAAAAAATCAAGAAATCAAAGCAGGAACAGCTACAGCTAATGTTTAAAACATAACAAACAGTCTCGTTGTTGCCCCATGGACGTTCAAAAAGGGTTTCTAATTTGAACAGTGTTCGTAAACGCCAAACGCCTTTGAATTGCCGGTTGAACGTGCAGGTTTCATCATACAAACTTTGGTTATTTTAAGTACAAAAACTGCAGCGTAATCATTAAAATACACTTTTAAAAGTGCCCCGGCTTTCTTATCACCGTTGAGGCAATAACAAGCAATTGTCATAGTGACAAGCACCTATGCATGTATGGGTCTTAAGCGGGTTAAGATATAATTAGTCTGATCATATACCTATTTCATATGAAATCAACATTAACACAATATATACAAATGTTTATTTACTAATTTGCTTTGCTATTTAAACATTTTCTGGTCAACTTTTCATGTGTATCTCGTTCGAATATGCCGAGGAGACCATTTAGTATATTTTAGAAACTTTCTAGTGCTTGGCAATGGCTTATGAATAAATTATATTTTGTTATGTTATTATTAGCATTCTTCCAAACGTTTTTTGTTTGCTTTACAACACTTGAGCATTTTTGAAAGTGTTATGAGCTATATATGGGTATATGATTTTGTGAATGACTTTTAAGTTGAACTTTTCGTGCATTCACAGATGTACTTACATAAGAAAATGGAGCTGCGTAGACAAACGAAATGTAAATGTTGCTAGAACCAGATTTTGTTTAACTTTTGCCCTATTTCCATTGATAATGGAAACGAACTTACACTGCGCGCTGGCCCCTATTGCAAGCAATGCGAAAATGAAAATATCAAATCTATGAATATAAACATGCACGTTTCGAAAATATGCAAATGGTTTTGTATAACCGATAGACACACACTCTGCCGGACAAAACTAACAATAAAAATCAGTAGGTCAGCCAGCGATCATAGGTCAAAGTACAGGCCCAAATGACTTTGGTCGCGTTTTACCAGGTAATATGTATTCACACGCAATAGCTAACAATTTGTACAGATGCCTCAATTATACATCTAGGCACTACTAAGTCAAGCTATAAAAGCCAAGTGTTGATGATAAGACGACAAGTTTTCCCCCTCCAAGACAGTGGGGAATAAAATGCCAGCGACAGCGCCCGCGCCCTGATTTCGACGTGTACGACGGAATTGTTGTTGTTTTTCTATTGCCTAGCCAATGTGCTCACCTCGTTAAGGAATGCTGTGACATCGTAGACATTGTTGTGAATGAGCAGCCATGTGTCCTTGTTGGTATTGTGTTTGGCGACTTCCGCACGCGTAAAAGTTTTCTCTCCTTCGCTTGACATGTTGATGACTTGTTGAATTGCGTTTCTATTGCTAATAGAGTTGGAATAAGTTCGATCGAACGACTCGCTAAAACTAAATGAACGAACCAAGCCTCCGATTGTTTTTCAACTAGTTCGTTATTTACTATGTTATTGCAGCTAGAAATTTAACAGTAGCAAGGCCTGTTAATAACTGTGTTAGCAGAGCAATAACAGATCCAGAAGGAGCACACATTTTGTATACATTTATCGATAACTGATTAGCTGGCGTGATCGAGAATACAACCAAATAATCATGGAGGGTAATTTAAATTGTATTCCATTGCAAAGTTCATTTAATACTTGTAAAAACACTAAAAAGCTGCTGTCAATGAACATCGTTCTAGCGCGCGACTTTAAATTGGTCCCTTGCATTTGAAAATAGCCACAACGCTGTGTTATAATTAAATTTTAATTATCTTTCTGCAGTTGCTTGTCCATACATATAACTCTTGACATTAGCAGTTGTACTTGTTAACCATGAAATTACGTTAATACAATGAGTATTCAATAATTGAATATCTCTGACTATTAATTATTAGTTTTGTATTAGCTTTAAATTGCGCGTTGATAGATAAAGCATATGAACATCTGTTCCAATTAACTCTTAAGCCTCGAGCCGGTTAAATTGGCATATGAACAAGCTACAAATAACACGGCATATAATTATGATCCAGAAATGAATAGGCCAACCAAAAACACAAAAAAACGTGACTTATCATATATTTTTCGAACACGTTATCAAACACATGCACATATGAATAATGGCAAGTACCTACGCGATTACATGCGCTTAGAATTTGCCGTTGTATTCTTATCGCGTCCAGACAAAGCAACCTGCAAATTCAAAGCGCTGATATCATGAATACACAGCAATTATAGTTTGGGCTGGGAAAATCTTTCCCATGCCTCACCTTTAAGCAGTTCCACCGTTAAAGTACTCAATATTAATTCCCTTAGCATTGATTAGACCTAGCCTAATAAATATAAGAATATGGTTGAGCGTCAACGTTATTATTGCCTGTCTGTTAGCAATTTTAGTTTTTTTAATGTTTTGTTTTTGTTTTATATATTTACTATCAATAAATTAAGTATAGATTCTCTATTGTATGAAGAATTGTCTTCAAAAAGTGAGCTTATATGGAACAAAGTATATAATAATTCAATTATTTTGTATTCTAATTATAAGTGTGTACGTGTGTTTGTGTGTGTGTATGTATGTGTGTGTGTATGTGCGCGAGTGTGTGTTGGTGTATGCATGCATGTATGTATGCATGTTTGTTTGCCAACACCAAATGCAGACCAAGTCTATTTGTCGCTGTGCTGCAAATTTAAATAAAACGAATTTCTGCAAGTGCTCTCCTCCTCGATTCTCAAGAATTCAAGTAGGCTGTGTAGTTTTCCATGCTTAGCCAGTAGTGTAGTCTTTTTTGTAGTTGTTTTTGTTGGAGTTTGTTGTAAGTTGTATATATGTATCTGTGTACGTAGGTATGTATGTATGTATGTATGAACATATGTACATATGTATGTATATGTTTGTATGTATGTATATGCATGTATATCATCATATTTCTTGACTATATCGATCATTAAGGTTCCCCAGGACGATACCATTGGTATGGTAAACGCAATGATATAGAAATCATTTAGGAACCATCGGCTTTAATTATATATCATTCCGAAATCAGACTGTGTTTTTCCGAAATACTGCAATTCGAAAATTTATCGAAAACTTTACATAGCCATATCTCGGTCAATTATAGCCCCATCCCGGGCAGATTGTGAGGGCTATGTCGCGGAAGTCCATAGAATAGAATGCTATATAATATTTGATTTCGGAAAAAATGTGCATTTTAAAAAAAAAAAAACGTGATGGTTACACTGAATTTTTCCTTATTTTGTTTCATCTCTTAGATTGCGGATTGGATGGCAATCGATAGTTGGGATCCGTACGAGTCGAAAGAGGTATATCATTCCGCAATCGGACTGTATTTACCCGAGATATTTCAATTAGAAATTTGTATGATATGCTTAAAAAGGTTATATATTCGCCAAATTAAGACCGATCGTGATCGCGGATTAAATCATATCGTATTTATCCGAGATATCAAAGTCCCGTTTCCTAAGAGTAATATCGTTTGAGCCTCAGCGGATTTTGTAGCTTTCAGCAAAATCGGCCTCGCTTGCCTACGAAACAGAAGACGGTTCCTAGTTGACCCCAATATCTTTGGTCATATACCACAGATATAGTCCTGGTGAGCCTAAATCCCCAAAGCACTAAGCCTTGCAGAATGCGCGAGGATATGGTCTACAATATGTATGAATGCCCTTCTTTCATGCCCCTGACCCATACCCTGATGCCCCTGAAAGTCTCCTTTTTTTTCGTCCTTTTTATTGCATACTCCGTATCAGCAGGACGAGGACTTTCTTTGTGCCAAGGCACATCGCAATAGTCCTTAAAACAAACCAGTTAGGCATTAAATAACGTTACGATAAACAATTACTTTTGAAAATAACGTTCATTTTTGGTCGACGTTTCAAAACGACACAGCTCATGGCGAGATTATCTCCGCGGGAAGCTATGACGTTTCAAAACGACATAATTATTTTCGACATGATTAACGGCGGAGCTATGTCGTTTCGAAGCGTCACATCTCCGCGTCAAATCTAGAGCGGCGGAGATATGTCGTTTCGAAGCGTCACATCTCCGCGCCAAATCTAGAGCGGCGGAGATATGTCGTTTCGAAGCGTCACATCTCCGCGTCAAATCTAGAGCGGCGGAGATATGTCGTTTCGAAGCGTCACATCTCCGCGCCAAATCTAGAGCGGCGGAGATATGTCGTTTCGAAGCGTCACATCTCCGCGCCAAATCTAGAGCGGCGGAGATATGTCGTTTCGAAGCGTCACATCTCCCAGTTAATTCTAGAGCGGCGGAGCTATGTGTGTGTGTGTGCGGGTGTGTGTGTGTGTGTGTGTGTGTGTGTGTGTGTGTGTGTGTGTGTGTGTGTGTGTGTGTGTGTGTGTTTGTGTTTGTGTTTGTATGTAAATGTATGTATGTACTTATGCATGTTTGTGTGTATGCATGTGAATGTACGTATTATTTATACTTTAGTGGAGTATATTATAATTTGGTCACGAATTGATAGCCTAAGGTATTACATTTATTTATTAAATCTCTGGGATATAGTCCAAATAAAAAATTAAATGTATTTAAAAATCAAAATTACAAATACAGCTGGCACAACGCTTTCCCAATTAAAATGTGTAAAGATTCTTGATGTTGATATTTATTTAGTATTCCGCAATTTCAAATGAATAAGCACTTATCACTGTACAACGATTTAGTTTTATGTAAGTTGCATTATTGTGTTTAAGTATGTTTATCAATTATACAAATATTTTGTTATATTGTTTTTTTTTTGTTCCTGTTAATGATGTGTTGTGTGTGAGTACCTCGTAAAATTCAGCTATCACGGCCTTTTGGTCATGCTTTTGCATTTGATAAGGACATTTAATATGTAATCGTTTCTGATAACAATGACCAGATAAACAAGAAGAGAGAGAGAGAGAGAGAGAGAGAGAGAGAGAGAGAGAGAGAGAGAGTGCGCATTCTTGGCTCTCTCCAGTGCTGATTAAGAAACTAATGATGACATTTATAATTGAATTGTCGAATTCGGCTATTTGCTTGGGGCTCTATTGACTGTGGCAATCATTCAACGGAGCCCAAATAGCTGGGATTTTCACGAACAGCTCATTAAGAAGCAATTTATCAAATATTATGATTTTAACAAGAAACTAAACATTTGAGGCTTTTTTTTATGCTATTTTAACGTGACTCGATTTCTTTTGTTGTTTTACTTTTTGATAAAGCCTTGTGAAATTGACTCTTCATTGGTTTAGCCCGTGGTATTTCTCTTTTCGCCTACTCTTAGCTTATTAATAGCACAATAAATTGATAAACATTATCAGCACGAACCGATATGCGACTAATATATTTCAAAGCCCAGCCATTCAAATATAAGCCCATATGTTTTGGCCAATTTCGCAAGTCTCTTTCTAAACGCGCTTCTGCTCAGTTCGTGTGTCCAAAAAAAAAAAAGAATTTAAGAAATTAAGTGCAGAGCAATTTTAGGTGTTATCAATAATATCTGATAATGACCGCGGTGAACGGCAACGTCGCCAAGGACGACGAAAATCGTTTGTCACATTATAAAACGAATATTGTCTTGGGCGAATCCTTTGCCTCCGCAGACAAGGAACGCAAAAGCTTGTGAGTTGAAAAATGTGTTTGAAGAATTAAAAAATAAAAGGATATAAAATATTTAGTTAGAATATACAAAAGAAAAGGTAACAAAAAGAAGACGCTAAAATTATGTGATTTTTATTAAACATTTAAAATGTTTTTACCCTGAACCCAATAAAAATGGGTAATGGGAGTATTTGTATAGATATATGTGACAAACAGAAGAATGCATCACCAATCCCATAAATTATATATATTCTTGCTTCGAATTCTTGATAAAGTCTTTACTTGATAAAGTCATGCAGATATATCAACAGATACATAAATCAGTTAACATGCATGCATAGGGCTTATCCAAGTTTTTCGATAACTCTATCAAAAACTCTTGTAACCATGATTGTGCACTTTTTCTATACGTCGCGAATGGAGTCATAAATTTTATTGTATTCATGAATAAAGAGCCACAAATCGAAAATAAAAGTTGCCTTGTGACACGAACTAAGGTTCGTTTAAAAATACGATCACAAAGTTGATGAAAGATATAAAATACTCAAAAAAAAAAAAAAAAAAAAAACAACGACTAGCGATCGGCCTATAGTATTTGTAATCTGAGCGTAACGTGGTTTTTGTTTTTTCTATCGAATCTGTCAGCCTGGATTGGTGCTGGGGTCAGCGATAAGGAATGTGCGATTACTTGCGGAACCAATCGGATGCGAAGGGTTGTTCTCCGGCCAATTTATGACTAGCAATAGTTTGTGTGTGTGTGTGTGTGTGTTTGGAGTATACTCATAAATGGCGTGTGTTTCGCGTGCGCTTTTTTTTTTTTGTTTTATTGCAGCCAACCGAATAAAACGAAAAAGAATTCCAAGCATGACGAATCAACGGATAGTACCGACGATGACAAGCCAAAGGAAGACATCAAGCCGGTGGGTTTCTTCACCATGTTCCGCTATGCAACAACAAGGGATCGCATGCTCTACATGATCGGTCTGCTCTGCGCGGTGGCCACCGGCCTGACAACGCCGGCCAACAGCTTGATCTTTGGAAATCTGGCGAACGTAAGTATATCTCGGTTTATATGGGAGCACGCGGTGCTGTCCACTAACTTGTTTATGGCTCATACCTCCGGCACTTAACGACTTAAGTTGATAAAATAACAAATCGAAGTGCTCTCAAGTGCCTTTCATCGATTATAGCACTTACAAATGTTTTTATACCCTTGCATGAGGGTATTATAATTTTGTCATGAGATCGTACATAAAGTATATATATTCTTGATCAGTATCAACAGCCGAGCTGATATAGCCATGTCCGTCTGCCTCTTTCTGAACTGAATTGTGTTCTGATTAACTGAACATTTTTGATCATTTTTTAGGACATGATTTACTATAGCGGACTTGTGCCGGGCGCCACATATATGAAAGAATCGTCGGTTACCGAACTCCTCCAGGATGCAGTGCAGAAGTTTTCGCTATACAACACATATATTGGCATCGTGATGCTGTTCTGCAGTTACATATCCATCACGGTTTTCAATTATGCGGCCCACTCACAGATAATGAGCATACGTTCCAAGTTTTTCAAATCCGTGCTGCATCAGGACATGACCTGGTACGATATCAATCCGAGCGGAGAGGTTGCCAGCCGAATGAATGAGTAAGTATTCCTTTTAAAAAGCCTTTCAATTCGGTAGTCTAATTGCTTGTCTGGCATCCCACAGAGATCTGTCAAAGATGGAGGATGGTCTGGGCGAGAAAGTTGTCATATTTGTGCATTTCATAGTCGCATTCATTGGATCCATTGTCCTGGCCTTTGTCAAGGGCTGGCAGCTGGCCCTCGTGTGCCTGACCAGCTTGCCGGTGACCTTTATAGCCATGGGCTTCGTGGCCGTGGCCACATCCAAGCTGGCCAAACAGGAGGTCAACATGTATGCGGGCGCCGCCATCGTCGCCGAGGAGGCCTTGTCCGGCGTGCGCACGGTCAAGGCGTTCGAGGGTGAATACAAGGAGGTCGCCGCCTACAAGGCGAAAGTCGTTGCGGCCAAGGAGCTAAACATCAAGCGCAATATGTTCTCCGGCATTGGCTTCGGCCTTTTGTGGTTCTTCATCTACGCCTCGTACGCCCTGGCTTTCTGGTATGGCGTTGGCCTGGTTCTCAAGGGACGTGAAGACCCATATTATGAAAACTATACGCCCGGCACTATGATAACCGTGTTCTTCTCGATCATGATGGGCTCGATGAACATAGGCATGGCGTCTCCGTATATTGAGGCATTCGGCATAGCCAAGGGTGCCTGTGCCAAGGTGTTTCACATCATTGAGCAGATCCCAATTATCAATCCGATTGAGCCGCGCGGCCAGAGCCTCAACGAGCCGCTGACAACCATCGAATTCCGCGACGTCGAGTTCCAGTATCCCACGCGCAAGGAGATACCCATTCTGCAGAAGCTCAACCTGCGGATTCATCGCGGCCAGACGGTGGCTCTGGTGGGCCCCTCGGGCTGTGGCAAGTCCACCTGCATACAGCTGATACAGCGCTTCTACGATCCCCAGGGCGGTGAACTCTTCTTCAACGGCACAAACATCAAGGACATCAATATTAATTGGCTGCGCGAGCGCATCGGCGTGGTCGGCCAGGAGCCGGTGCTCTTCGGCCAGTCCATATACGAGAACATACGCTATGGTCGCGAGGATGCCACCAAGGAGGACATTGAGGCGGCAGCCGCGGCAGCAAATGCTGCCATCTTCATCAAGAAACTGCCCAAGGGCTACGACACGCTCGTGGGAGAGCGCGGAGCTCAACTGTCCGGCGGCCAGAAACAACGCATTGCCATTGCCCGCGCTCTGATCCGTGACCCGGAGATTCTGTTGTTGGATGAGGCGACCTCGGCGCTCGATACGGCCAGCGAGTCAAAGGTGCAGGCCGCCCTGGAAAAGGTCAGCCAGGGACGCACCACCATCATTGTGGCCCATCGTCTGTCCACGGTGCGTCGCGCGGACAAAATCGTGGTGATCAACAATGGCCAGGTCGTCGAGGCCGGCACCCACCAGGAGCTGATGATGCTGAAGAACCACTACTTCAATTTGGTGACCACGCAGATGGGCGATGACGACGGCAGCCTGCTCAGTCCCAGTGGCAACATCTACAAGAACTTTGATATCAAGGATGAGGACGAGGAGGAAATCAAGATAATTCAGGACGATGTCGAGGAGGAAGTGGCACAGGTAGAAAAAAAGAAGAAGAAGAAGAAGACAAAGCGGGACAAAAACGCGGGCTCACCAATGCGGGGCATCATGAAGCTGAATCAACCGGAATGGGTGCAGATCGCCATCGGCTGCGTATGCTCGATCATAATGGGCTGTGCCATGCCCATTTTCGCGGTGCTCTTCGGTAGCATTCTGCAGGTGCTGCAATCCAACGATCCTGTATACGTGCGGGACAACACCAACGAGTACAGCCTGTACTTCCTGATCTCCGGCATTGTCGTTGGACTGTCCACCTTCATGCAGATCTACTTCTTCGGCGTGGCGGGCGAACGTCTCACGGAACGCATTCGGGGTCTCCTCTTCAGCGGCATGCTGAAGCAGGAGATTTCCTGGTTCGATGATCGTGCCAACGGCACGGGCAATCTCTGTGCCCGACTGTCGAGCGATGCAGCCGCCGTACAGGGCGTAAGTTGATCAAAGTTTGCCCACATTCCAATCTAATCCTTATTATTCTTGCAGGCGACTGGTCAGCGTATTGGCAGCATCATCCAATCGATCGCCACCCTGTTGCTGGGCATCGGCCTGGCCATGTACTACGAGTGGAGCTTGGGGCTGGTGGCCATGGCATTCATACCCTTTATTCTGGTCTCCTTCTATTTGCAACGCACTGTCATGGCGCAGGAGAACATGGGCAATGCCAAAATCATGGAGAACACAACCAAACTGGCCGTCGAGGTGGTCTCCAATATACGCACTGTGGTGTCCCTGGGCCGCGAGGACATGTTCCATAGCACCTACATTGAAATGCTGGCTCCAGCCGTTGAGGTAAGCACTTGAGTCGATGCTCGAGCAAAGTCAACTCGAACATGTTGCAGGTCAAACATGTTTGAAGACGGCTCAGCTCAGCAAGTCTGACGTTTTTCAATTGAATCACTTGAGTATCGGTACTTGATTTCATTTACTTACGCATTTATGTTTATATAGAAATCCAAGAAGAACACGCACTATCGTGGCATTGTCTATGGTCTGGCTAGATCCATGATGTTCTTTGCCTATGCGGCCTGCATGTCCTATGGCGGCTGGTGTGTGGTTAATCGGAATCTGCCATTTGGCGATGTCTTCAAGTGAGTTAACAGCAAGCCAAGCAAATCTTAGCACAAGATTCCATTAAAAAACCTTTTTGCATTGCAGAGTATCGCAGGCATTGATAATGGGCACGGCATCCATTGCCAGCGCCTTGGCCTTTGCGCCCAACATGCAAAAGGGGATCAGTGCCGCCGAGACCATATTGAAATTCCTGGAGCGCAAGCCGCTAATTGCCGACAGTCCTGATGTCTCATTGAAGCCCTGGCACTCGAAGGGCAATGTGTTCTTCGACAAGGTGGAATTCAGCTATCCCACACGTCTTGAAGTCCAGGTGCTCCGCGGCCTAATTCTGGCAGTGCAAACGGGCCAAAAGGTGGCTTTGGTGGGTCCATCTGGCTGTGGCAAGTCCACGTGCATTCAGCTACTGCAACGCTTCTATGATGTGGACGCTGGTGCTGTCCGGATCGATGATCAGGATCTCCGACAATTGGCCATTTCGAATCTGCGCATGCAGCTGGGCATTGTCTCGCAGGAGCCAATACTATTCGATCGTAGTATTCGCGAAAATATTGCATATGGCGACAATTCCAGAATAGTCACGGACCAGGAGATCATAGCGGCGGCCAAGAAGTCCAACATACATGGCTTTATTGCCAACCTGCCGCTGGTGAGTCCTCCCTTCGAATATACTTGATAGGGATAGATGATAACTCCATATCCTTTGCTTCTTCCAATCTTGACAGGGCTATGAAACCCGTATGGGCGAGAAGGGCACACAGTTATCCGGAGGACAGAAACAACGTATTGCCATTGCTCGAGCCCTTATCAGAAATCCGAAAATTCTCCTGCTGGATGAGGCCACATCCGCATTGGATGCGGAAAGTGAAAAAGTGAGTTGGAAAATGTACTCGACTTGTACTCGAGACACTTTTCGTTGCTTGCGGCTTGCAATTCGCAACCAGTTAAAGCTGCAAGAGATAGCAAGCCCGGAAGGGAGAATCTGGTCATGTTTGTTGTTTATGTTATAAAGATTTGTATACTTGTTCCATACAAAATATTTAAATGTTTATTTCCGATATTCAACAGATCGTGCAAGAGGCATTAGATGCGGCCGCCGAGGGACGCACCACAATTAGCATTGCCCACAGATTGTCGACCATTGTCGACTCGGATATTATCTATGTGTTCGAGAATGGAGTCGTCTGTGAGAGCGGCACCCACAAAGAACTGCTCCAGAACCGTGGACTCTACTACACATTGTACAAACTGCAAACAGGCGCCATGTAAATGGCACTCTAGGCTAACGAATTTCGATCAATGACAACCTAGGATCTAAGCGCGATTAGTATTATACTGTAAATAAAACACACGCATCTAATTCGATAGGAACATTTTAGCACATAAGAAATCAAAGCATATTTATGAATTTACCGACATTGTTGGGCACACTTTAAGCTAAATAAATTTTGTAAAAATTAAATTTTATAAAGCAAGAGCCGTGCAGTCGCTTACGGTCACAGTAGAAGAACTGCTGCTCTAAGGAGAAACTGTCAATGTTAATTAATTACATTAACTTTAACATTGACATTATTAACATTAACATAAACATAACATTAACATGGATCATTCTTTGATTGGGACCCAAACGGGATCTGAAAGTAATTTCTTAATGCGAATCAGCTTTATCTAAGATACTGATCACGCCTTGATTGCCTTGATTATAATCAACATTAAGTAAAATATCACGAATTTAAATCAAAAGCATGTTAATTGACAAAACCTTTAAGTTTATAACCCGTTCCCGTACATATGTTTGCTTTAATAATAGTGTGTTCCAAAATACACCAGTCTTTGATAAGATAAGAAATAGATAAGGATAAATAGATAACCTATTGTATTGTTAAGCCGGCAAATGACATTATAGGGTTTAAAACATTCTATAATGTCAAGTCAGTTTGTCAAACTGCATCAATTCCGACAGCTCTTTGGTTCCTAATATAGATCAAAATTATTTGATTTACTTTTAATGTCAAAATCCCTCCTGACAAAGTTGAAACACCTTAGTTTTTAAAAAATCAATATTTAATTGCTAGACAAAATGAAGCACAGCTTATTTAGTTACAGAAATTTGTTCAAATATATATTACGACCACTCGAAGCTGCATACAGGGCATCTGCTAGTCGGGCACTTATGTTATAATCGAAGAAGAATTTACACTCATGATACGAATCGTACAAGTAGTAAAACATTTGTATGTTCAAATTGTAAATAATAGTTTTGCTCATGTATATTTAAAGTTTACATATGTATAGCGACTGTGATTGCATTTTACCCAGTCAACTTTTTGGTTATCCACTGGAAACCAAATAATAATTTTGCTTAAATTATGACTTCCGATCTGCCAACGTGCCATTATCTCATGTGGTTGTTTGTTAGATTTGGGCTTGTGCTGCCTGTGCTCGTTATTGTATAACTAAAACTAGTTTAAAATAAACGTAAAGTAAAAATAAGGAAAATCTTACAGTAAGCACAACACAATTTCCACCACAGATTTACAATAGATTCCGATCCAGACGTTCGAGTGCATTATAAACAAAAAAAACTTAATGCAACTGTCGTGACTTCGAGTTGTGTTTCGATGATCGTCGGTGTCAGCATCTCGTGGGTCGTAGGTCCTCGCATAGTACAATATAATTTGGGTAAATGCCTTTTTGCTTATGAGTGGGGTCAGGGAACTATATATATATATATATATATATATATATATATGATTTTGAAGAATCAGGAATATGATGTGCTTTCGTTTTGTTTTAACATAGAACTTAATCGAAATCCAAATGTGATTATTATGAAATATGGGAACAACTACGACTATGGTTGCCTAATTTAGTTCTTCTCCTCCTTCTTGGCCTCGCCAGAAGTCTCGCCCGAACTGCTGCTGCTGCTGCTGCCACCGCTGGAGCTGCTCTCGCGTTCGGCGGACATCTGTAAAATCAAAGTTCAATTTAAGCTCAAATACACAACTTATGTTTGCTTATGTTTCCTACCTTCTTATAGGCCATCTCAAAGAGCTTCAGTGAGGACTGCTGCAGCTGAGTGGTAGCCTTCCTGACCTCCTCTGGATCGGCAGTCTCCTTGTTGGCCAGCAGGGTACGCAGATCAGCAATTTCTTTTTTCAGCTTCTCACACTAAAAAGAAATTCATATTATTATTAACCAAACCTTGTCGAGTTTGGGTTTTCTAATGCGAACCTCTTCAGCGGGCAACTGGCTCTTGAATTCTTCCATTTTGGTCTCTGTGTCGTGTACAATACTCTCGCCCTGGTTAACAATTTCGATCAGTTCACGCTTCTTCTTATCAGCACTGGCATATTCTTCGGCCTTCTTGATCATGTTTTCGATTTCATCCTTGCTGAGGCCTCCGCTCGACTGGATCACAATCTGTTGCTCCTTGCCGGTACCCTTGTCCTTGGCAGAGACATGCACTATACCGTTGGCATCAATATCGAAGACAACCTCAATCTGAGGCACACCACGGGGCGCTGGCGGAATGCCGACCAGTGTGAAGGAGCCCAGCAATTTGTTGTCGTTAGCCATTTCACGCTCGCCCTGGTGCACCTTAATCTCGACCTGAGTTTGGCCATCACTGGCCGTTGAGAACACCTGGGACTTCTTGGTGGGAATGGTGGTATTGCGCGAAATCAGGCGCGTGAAAACACCGCCCAACGTCTCAATACCCAACGAGAGGGGAGTGACATCAAGCAGAAGCACATCAGTGACATCGCCGGCCAAGACACCGCCCTGAACTGCGGCACCAACGGCAACAGCTTCATCGGGATTCACCGAACGCGAAGGCTGGCGTCCGAACAGTTCTTGCACTGTGGACTGCACCTTGGGCATACGCGTCATGCCGCCAACCAACAGAACTTCACCGATTTCAGACTTGGATACCTCGGCATCGGACAACGCCTTCTGGCATGGCTGAATCGTACGCTTGATGAGATCACCGACAAGGCTTTCCAGCTTGGAGCGAGTCATTTTAAGATTCATGTGCTGGGGTCCAGCGGAGTCCATGGTCAGATAGGGCAAATTGATGTCAGTTTGTTGTGATGACGACAGCTCGCACTTGGCCTTTTCCGCTGCCTCCTTAAGACGCTGCATGGCAATATTGTCCTTGCGTATATCAATACCGCTGTCCTTTTTGAACTCGGACACCAAAAAGTTCACGATGGCATTGTCGAAATCCTCTCCGCCCAGCAGAGTGTCGCCGTTGGTGGACTTGACCTCGAAGACGCCCTTTTGGATTTCCAAAATGGAAATATCAAAAGTACCACCGCCCAAATCGTATACAGCAATACTGCAAGGCATATCAAATAGATTATAATTAGACGGCTTTTAAAAATGCCACGCATTAACTTACATTTTATCCTCGGTTTTGTCCATACCGTAAGCCAGCGCTGCTGCTGTTGGCTCATTAATAACGCGCAGGACATTCAGGCCAGCGATTTGGCCAGCATCCTTGGTAGCCTGACGCTGCGAGTCGTTGAAGTAGGCGGGCACAGTGACCACGGCATTCTTGACTGGTGTGTTGAGGTACGCCTCAGCGGTCTCCTTCATCTTGATGAGGATGAAGGCACCGATTTGTGAGGGCGAGTACACTTTGCCATCTGTGGAGGATACCCAGGCATCACCATTGGAAGCCTTCACAACTTTGTAAGACAGATTTGTGATATCCTTCTTCACCTCAGGATCATCAAAGCGGCGGCCAATCAGACGCTTTGTGGCATAAAAAGTGTTTGCCGAGTTGGTGACCGCCTGACGCTTTGCCGGCATGCCAACCAAACGTTCGCCATCCTTGGTGAAAGCAACATGTGAGGGTGTTGTGCGCGCGCCCTCCGCATTTTCAATCACCTTGGCTTGTTTGCCCTCCATCACAGCCAGACAGGAGTTGGTGGTGCCCAAATCAATGCCGATGACAGCACCCTTAACTTCGCCAGATCTGAGAGCAGCGAAAAATACAAAACAAAAGAACACGTGTTAAAAATAGATATTCGCGAATGTGATAAGAGTAAGCGATAAGCGCTGGGGTCAATTGTGAGTGTTGTACAACTCAATTCTGAACCAGTTTGTACGAACTAATTGAAATTAACATTTCAATGGAAATTAATATCAAGAAACATCTTAGGAAAACAAATTTTGATGATTTGCTATGATTCATCAAAGAAGTTATATAAGCCTGACCTTAAAAACTATCAGTATAAAAATCAATTTATTAAAAACAATAAAATGAACGAACCACAGTTCAACCAAAGAAATGAACTACCAATTGCATTTGAACAAGAGTGCCCAACACTGTCAAGAAGTGCATGTTACAGTATGTGTGCATGTTACAGTATGCGTGCATGTAGTTTGCGTCTGCTTGTTTTTTACAAAAAAAAAAAAGCCAACATTTATTAAAAAGTAAGATTAAACGGACTGATGCAATTTTGTAGCTCAACTGGCAATTGAAATTGAATACGTAACCATTGTCGAAAATAACTTCATAAATCTATTACATAAGTAGCCGCATATTGTTTGAACTGAAGTTTGTCGCCGCATTGGTGTGCGGCAAATTAACATGTGTAACATAAGCTGTTAAATGAAAGTTCACTTACTTGTAACGCATTTGACCGGAGAATCCATTGCAGGCACCGGGCAGATTCTGTAAATAGCACAAGTATGCGTTTATTATTTATTATACGTGAATCGTATGTAAGAACATGAATTGCTAGAACATGCCGCTCGTGGTATTATGTAAAGCTGATTTGTACTTACGCGGAATATGCTAGAACCTGCAGGCATATTCGATGATGCTGCAAGGCTGGCCTGGCGGGCAAGGCGTGGCAAAAGTTTGGGAACGCGCAGCATTTTGGTATATTACTTTCTTAATTTCACACTGCTACTAATTATCAAATAAAACAGCTGCAAACTGCACCGCTTTAAGGCGAAAATTTCGTCAGAGCGAACCACGAGCACGTTTCCCTTACGAGGGCTGGATAAAGACAGAAGACAGAGATGTGAACAGCGCTCCGGAATAGTCGGTTTTGACGGAATTGAAACAAAACACGCAGCGTTGCATTGAATGTGACCCACAGAGCTGCCAGCGTTTTTAAGTGGCTAGTGTATTTGTGTGATTTCTTTAAATTATTTACAAAGCTTTGCAGATTTGATTTGAAATTTGTGTATTTAATAATTCGGCAATACAAACTGTAATAGCTTATGTTGTGAACAGTTTGATTTATGACGTTAGAGGCTCGCCTTCTCCAAAAGATCTGTCCGAAGCACCCTGTGTGTGAGGTTTTCCCAGCGTTTCGTGTTCCATCACACGTGTTGTTATTATTGCGTAAAGTAAAACACAAAAAAAAAATAGTTTCAAAATTTTCATCAAAATTGAATCATAAAACGTCGGTTCGACCGATGCTGCTTCTGCCGCCTTTGTAT